CATGGGTGACCCACACCTACACAAGGAACTATATTACAACATATGTGTAGTATTTTATATGGAGATACAAAAGTCCTATCTTCTTTATTTAGCTTAAGGAGAAAAAATGAGACAGCCATGAACTTGCAAACATTTCTTTCTTAGTTTCAAATTCAGATTCTTGGGAAAGTCACTTGGACTTGTACGGATCAGTTTGTCTTTTTTTAAATTGCATTTTATGTTGGGCCATATCTACCATGCTGTTATTTTGTTAGATATTTTTCAAAATTCTATTTTATTCCCCACTGCCAATTCAAGGAGTCAAAATCATTATATGTTTACTTTTAGGAATACATAAAGCTACAAAAGTGTGGTATAGAGGCATCAGCTGTATAAATCAAATTATTCTTAAAATACGTACGTAAATGCTGAAATAACTCATTGCAAAATAGTTCCAGTCAAGGTACAGAGGGATAAATGAGGTTATGAAATGAGTATGAGTTTCTCTGTATATACAAATGATTTTACACATTTTACAGATTGGGGTTTCTGTCAAGAGGAAGGCTGTCTATCAATTATACTGCTTGATTTAAACTATGCTCTCCCGAGATGAAAATATTAGTTTTGCGATTTGGTTCAAATTTCAGTTTCATACTACTTGGGTTTAAATTACATATTTTCACTGACTTTATCAGTTTTCCTTTTGCAAAAATGAATTATTTATTGTGTTCTTGGAATTTAATACAGTATTAATTTTGACATTTGGGAATTGAACTGTTTTGCATTCAGGCTTCCTGGGCCCTCCTGAAGCCCTCAAAGTAGCATTTTGTAACTAACTACTCTTTTTAGAGCGACGTTTTTGCACTGGTCATGTCCACGGCAATTTCACAAGCTTCTTAGGTTGAAGATCTCCAATACTATCCAAGGAGTCAGATGCCGTAATTTACAAAGATGCCTTTCAGACAGAGGTGGGTTCCTACCAGTTTGCACCTATTCGGTAGAACCGGTTCGTCAAATCTACC